TCTCGACTCTCGACTCGACCGCTCTCCACTCCGGCGGTCTCTCTCGGTCGTCGCTCACTGAAGCGTGGAATGACCGGCGCGCCTGGCCCGAATCATTACTGGCATGTCGGCCATTAAATTACCGTAAACAGCCACACCGGAGCACTGCTAGAGAACAATAGCGGCCCCAGCCGCCACCAGCACTCGTGGTCCGCCCGACATCCCCGGCCAACGCCGCGCCGGACGGGTATATGTAAGCGAACGGGTTTGTCAGAGAATAAGACCAGAGTGTAATGTGAGAAGGCTTCAGCTCGATGGTCAACTTTTTCGAATGACAGCAGTGGTGCTGTTGGACATCTAGGATTGAAATTAGGTATGTGGCACATTAACGCATACTTAATGTGTGATTGTGTTGACAATACCTATAGGTAAAAGGTGAAAAAACAATATTAATCATTTTAGGATTAAGGCTCTCCAAAATTTACGTCATTCTTCATAAGTGACGTGCAATCTGGAGTGACATATTTTGCAGTGCTAGGCATTGTAAAAAATGCTGATTATTGTGATTATTGCTGTTATTCGTACCAGAATACACAAATTTCGCTTATGCTGCATGCCTTCCGCTAAGAACTGTAAACCACCAACTAAACTACCAAATGTAATTGATGCTCTCAGTAAGCGGTGTTCAGTTCGTGACGTGCGTGTAGTACACGGTGGTAGTAACTCGAGCTGCGGTCAGAAACACTCACGGCCCTGAGTAACGACGACAAAGTGGCGCTCGACCCCGCGCCAAGGGTCACGACCTGCCACAGAGGTCACGGAGGTCATGAAATCACGTGGTTGAGAGCCGTAGTGCTTCCGTTTGGGAATAGGGGGTAACACAATAGGTGCAGCTCGCACTTAACTGTTCGATTAGTGAGGGGCCCAGGTCACTACTCACAGTTAAGTCAGTTGTAATTAATGAATTGAGCTGGCACTTTTCGTGATGCTTGGTCATGTGAATTTTTGCGTGTCGCTCTAGTGCGGTTCGGACAGCACGGGACACTGAGGCTGGTTTACCGATTTCGTGGCCACCCGCCCGACCAGGAAATATGGACACCACTGCATTGTTGTTGTCCATGCCGCTGCGACGGCACGGAGCGTCTGGAAAACTCTGGATCATGCGACCGAAAGTCATGGTCATCGCGCCTCAGATCTCGATTAACGGCTGTCACCTGTTACCAGACGTCTAACGGTAGCCATGCTGGGGGAGTTTTGTGTTGATTTCCACATTTTGACTGATAGAACTACATATCCGTGTTATAGTTATAGGTAATATCAAAGCGAACATTTGGCATTTCAGGGGGCACGTCTTGGGCGATACCAATTTCATACAGACCTTTCCGACACGCGAATGTCGCCAGGACCCAATGGATCTAACCGGCATCCCCCCCCCCCCCCCTCCGAAGACCAGGAAGCCCCAGACGGGCGGTGGCCCCGCACCCAATACGGTCATTCATTAGTGGCCACAGGAGTGTCCCAGGCTGACCAGCCGGTCCTAGACAAGGTCATCAGCTGACTTCACACGGCGTATCAGCTGATCGCCGCGAGTCGCTGTCGCCGATCAGCTGATCAGCCGCCGACATCAGCTGATTGGCGGACCGTGGGCGCTGGTATCAACTGACCGGTGAAGCTGAGACCGACAGGCGGCAGCTGAGCTGAGTGTATCACTGGTGAGACAGCCCGGCATTGTCTTTGAAGCGGGATCATGTCTCAGACTCATAGATCTCAGCTGTGAGCTTCCGGAAGTCAGTGGCGTTGAACCCAGATCGGGTTCTGTGCCAGGTCATACCTCACTCATGTATTGCCCATGTGTTGGGCAAGCAGCCCTTGTATAAACGCCCGTACGCCCCACTCTCCCATTCCCGAGCCAATCTCGCTCCCAATTCAGTCTAATTCAAGCGGGACGAACGCTTTTCCGACAGGTTCCCACGGCTGCCGGTTTTCTCCCACGCACCGAACCGCCTCCTCTCGGCTAGTCGGAGGGCTTCTGAACGCGAACTCGCCGCCACCGACCGTGCCGACTCGTCCCATTTCCGGTTCCGGCTGTGCTCCGACGTGCCGCCGCGGCTCCGGCTCCGGCTCGGCTCCCGAGGAGCACAGCCGCCGCGGCCGCCGCGCGCGGCCCGCCAGGCGCGCCCACTAATGAATTTCCCGGCCGACCGCACGTAGGCCCTTCTTACCACGCCAGACGCCGACACGCGAGCAAGAAGGGCCTACGCGCCGCCGCTGAGCCTTCGTTTCGGAACGGTGCAGCCGTGAGCTGGTCCGTTTTGCCGATTAATTAGTAATTTGTTGGTGACGATTGGAAAGGCTCCTGTCATCTCAACCCCTAGGGAAGAGACTTACTCTGCTGATGCACCTGTGACGCAGCGATGCGCAGATAAGGTCATATCAAGAGATGAATGGCTCGCATTCTGATTTGTTCCGCTAGCCCCGTCTGACATAGATGAGGCCCAGTAGATCGTGGGACGACAGGTTGTGCCTCCCCCGCCACCACCAATAATCACTATCGGTTAGGTGGCGACTGTCTAGTGTCTGCCCTATCACGGACGGCGCGGCAACCGAACGCTGCCTAATCTGGCAGCTCCAATGGCTCATAGAAGGTAATGAACCGGATCATAAAAAGAGCTGCCGGTTACGGCGACGACCGCACACCAAAGCGGGCCACACACGGGCCCGCCTATACGGGCCGTTTATCAGTGGCGGTGGGTCCGGCTGACCTTACCGAGCCGCCCGTCGGACCATATTGGGCCTGGGCCGTACGACAGCGGCGGCGGCGGCGGCGGCGGCGGCGGCGGCGGCGGCGGCGGCGGCGGCGGCGGCAAAGGTGGCGGCGGCGGCGGCGGGTGCTATCAGCACATGAGAAGCATTAAGTGTTGAGGGTGGTCCTGTCTGATAGGTGCCCCAATAGCGTCGGTTAAGCCGTCCGTGACTCATTTCAGCCAACACATTCACATGGAGCCATCACTTGCAAATTGTGTTGGAGTAGCTAGCCGCAAAGTACGCTAGCCGTAGCTCTGCTAACTTGTGATCATAGCTTCATGGCTTTAATTGCTTTTAATTTATTACTTTTCCAACCAGCTACTATAGGTACTGTACTGTATAATGATCAAATAGCAGTGCTTTATTTGGTATTGCAGACAGCAAAACCAATTGTAAATCACAATGAGACCATCCCTCGATGTTTATAATCGATTTGCCATAGCGCCATCGTCAATCAGGCGGATACCGCTGCACCGGTCAGCCAAGTCGCACACCACCCTCTCCTCCCTCTCCCCCCCCCCCCTCGGCGAGTGCGCCGCCCTCCATTTAATTGTTACGCCTTGCATGTTCCCGCCCATCTAATCTCTTTTAAATGCCGTTTTATGCAGGCACAGGAGACGTACCCTTTTGCTATAAACTCAGTTTGGGTTCTCATGACATGCAGGTCTACGGCCTGAGGCACTGGGGCAAGGTGGGGTTTGGTCTGTGGTCGTGGTCTTTACAGCAATGGTGAGAGAGATGAACTCACAGGCTAGAGTCACGTTAGAACAGCTAGGATGAAAGTCAAGAAGAGGTTACGGCGAAACAGACTCAACTGAGACATTGGATCGAGCTTATATACGATATCAATTTCGTGGAATAATAAATGAAATAGATGCAGCCGCTGCGATGCTGCTTACGCATTTTTATGATCATTTTAAAAGTTGTGTTTTATTTGACACAGTTATTCATTTTTCATTGTCTTCATCACATTCACAACGTTTTGTGTGCTCCACGTCAAAACAGTTACTCTATAATAGCGTTGAATGGGGAGTTTAATTTGTCGACAGTTAATTTCGAAGAAAGCTAGGAAACGCTACCTATAAAAATAAAAATCAACCTTAAACATTCATAAGAAGTGAGATGGCTTTTTAAGATTTCAATGCTTCAGCGTTCGACAATGCGCTGTATAACTGCACGTGTTCATTCCGCTGTACGATGCCCATTGGTGAGGTGGTTGTCCTTGTACAGGGGTGGCTATGCGGCGGCAGCCTGTCGTGAATGAATGCCGGAATGAGGATGCAATCTCTCAACAGAACGACCTCATAAACTGGCGTCCATTAAAGCCGCCGCTAGGCAGCGGCGCAGGGGTGCAGCCGACTGTTTAGCAGAAACAGATGGTGCCTGCACGTGGCGCCAAATTTACCGGTAAAATGGCGCCAAATCAGAGCCGAACCCCGCCGCATTCCGAACGTCCGCTCCTCGCAATCACACGAATATTACGCATTAATTTTGTAGGATGATCCGAACACTGCATGCCTGCATGCAGTATGCACTAGTTCACATTTGTATCAGTCGCTGTGAGTTGTTCAGGCATGTTGTAAGGCCTCGCTCCCTGTCTCGGCGCTCTGTTGTCCCCTGCCGGAGGCAGAGAGCGCCGAGGAGCCTCTGAAGAGAGGAATCTCTCCCTGCTGAGGCCGAGGCCGTCTCACTCATCGAATGATGGATGAGCGGCCCGCAGGCGGCCGCCGTGAAAATCACCACCCCTCTGCCGCCACCGCCATTAGCGGCGATTGAAGAGAGCTGAAAACAATTCCATTTCTATCACCACTCCCCGACAAATTATGGAGCGATTTGGTAGCTAGAAACTGCGCGCCCACGCCCGCTGAATGGTGCGGTGCGTTTATTATTGATGCGAGTGGTGCCGACTTTAGTGATGTGGAGTCGTCAGCAGTGCACCAAGTCCGTCTGGCCAGCTCCTAATTGTCGGAAGGTGATTAACAATTCTAATGCGCGCCCACTTGTTGCCTCTGACAGAGCCGCCGGCTCGAATGTTTGTCCCGGTGTGGTGTAGGCTGACAGTAACGCTGTGGTGACAGCTGTTTCTGTGTGACTGCTACCTGTGTCGATGACCGCACGCCTGACACACACTGTCATGTGACACTCGGCCGTCGGGTGACACCTGGCTGTGCTCTCTGAACCCGGACCGTGTCTGACCTATGACTAATCGGTTACAGGTGCTGGTGCCATGGCGTCGGCGGTCGTTGACCCGGCGGAGCGACCGGGCGGCCGACCCCGTCTAGGTGACCTGAGGTCACACATCACCTGTGTCCTCTGTGCCGGATACTTTATCGATGCCACCACCATCGTCGAATGTCTGCACACATGTGAGTACCGCCCCCTCCCCCCCCCCCCCATGTGTCATGTTAACGGTTTCACGATACGTCTGTAATTTTTGTGTGTAGTAGGTTTTGTGATTGAGAAAAAAAACAGACAAAAAGAGCATAGTGAAGAATGCGACCTGTCTGTCTGACCCGTTAGCCATAGGTATGGAAGCAGTTTTTGCTTGCGCAGTTTTTATTGCCTGGAACGGTGCTGCCCCACGGAACGAGCTACGGCTCGTAGGTTTTACCTCGCGATAAAAACCTCGAACGTAGGTAAAAACTCTTGTCTTCTTTTTGCTGTTCTTAGTCCTCTCGCTCCCTCCCCCTCTCTCTCTCTCTCTTTCTCTCTCCTTATCTCTCTCCCTCTCACCAAACTATGATAAGTGACTGCGGTTTCTGTGTGTTGTGACATACCCTGTAACGGATGCAGGCTTTGTCTAGAACCGTAGACGACAGGATATGAACACGGACGTTATGCCACAACGTTTCCTTCCGCACTATCGGCGCCTCTTTCGTGACAGCCTGTCGCTGTGTGCAGTGCATTTCTGAGTTTCTGCGTATCTCTTTGTTACATACGGGTGGTGTTTTTCTACCTTAGTGCCATACGTATCGATGTGTGTAAGGATGTCCCTTTGGAACACGCATCAATTTGTCTCCGGGTGAAAAAGTGTCTCTATTTTTCAATTATTCGAGTATATCAAGACTGTCTCTGCCTGTATCAAGATGTTTCCAAATTGTTAATGTCGATGATGTTTTGTGTGGCAATGTTTCTTGCCTTTCTTTGCCCGGCTGCTCGTTCATCTCACACATTTATTTGCGCCATACTGTCTATGTGTATCGTCTATGTGCCTCTTTGCGTCGGTGTGTCCGTTGTCTCGGAGTGTCTCTCTTGTCTCGGAGTGTCTCTCTTGTCTCGGAGCGGTGTCTTTTTGTCACACTATGTTCCTCCGTTCGTCCCGTATCTCGAGTGCCCCCTCCACGGCGCTACCCAGCTGACAGCGGTCAATAAGGTATCTATCGAACTCGGACCGCACTGGATGGCACAAGGCACCACTTCCGCGCCAGTTTCGCGCCAGTTCCGCGCTACGACTGGCGACCGGTGGTCTAGGCGCTCCAAAACTACCACCGTTGGTAGGCAGCCGGATTGGTGTCAGTCTGAAGGACAGCTGCAAGTCTCAAAAGTTGCTTTAAATTTAGTAATGTTTCTGAACTTTGACCAATGCAGATGGCGAACTGATCGTCGGTCAGATCTGTGTGTATGTAAATGTTTTCAATTTGCTGAGTTTTTGCTCATACTGAACTGAATTTTGTGCTTTGTAGTGATGAATAAGCTTGGCTAAAAGTGAGCTCAACATATGCAGCATATCCCCCAGTTTTCATTTCAGATTTTTCTCGTCGGAGGCTCAGGTTTTTGACTGGAGCTGACTGCGGCGCGGGCGGACTGTGCTGGGGCTGTAAAAGCTGCAGCCCGGCGGCATTTTAATGACCTCATCAGTGGCGTGAGCCGATCGAACAGCTGCTCTTTGGAGAGCGGAGCTCATCCATTCTCGGGCCGTACTGCTCCCGCGGCGACCAGCGTTTGGAGCTGAAAAAGGAAATCCATTCTATCTGTTCCCGGGAAAACGAGCGCTCATTTTATATTCCGGAATGTCAGTGGTGGAGAATGTTAACGACCTTTAACACTTTTCCATTTTACTGATTTCCTTCAACCCTAAACTCGAATGAGGTATTCAACCAAACGTTCCTTCCACCAAGGTTCAATAAGGAACATATCCGATGGCTTATTTAGCAAAATTAAAAGCATTGCCAACGACTAACGCCTAACGGTGTCATCGTAATGCACGGCTGTCGAGTGCCGAGCTTTAGGTTTCAGCTTGGCTAGCTCGCAACTTTCGTCATTTTGCTGTCTTCTTTGTTTTGATTACTCCTGATTCCGTCTCGGTCTCACTTTGCACAGCTCTGGTCTCAGTCATTCCTGTTCTGCTCTCAGTCGTATCTTCCTCACAGTCACACTCACACCTCTCTGTTTCTTCCTAACTCGCCTCAGCCTCCTCTGTCTGACCTCAACGGTCTCTATTCCGTCGCGCATGCCCCTCTCTCTTTACCAGTGGCCTCTCCTATTTCCTCACAGTCCCTCCTCTGTCCCTCCCAGCCTCTCCTATCTCCTCACCCCCTCCCCCTCCTCCATCCCCACGGCCGGGTCAGCTCAGTCTGCAGCTCTCTGTGCGAGTGAGCCGGCCTCGGCGGCCCCGGCTCAAACGGGTACAGTAGGTCAGCCGCCGCGCCGTCCCACACCGACAACAGTCAGCAGGCTGCACGCGCCGGCGGCACCCGAACAATGCCGCCGACTCGCGTGTGACCCAGAGAATTGCCGCCTGCAACTGCGGCGCCGGCAGTGGAGGCCTTAGCGGCGGTATGCGGTTACGGTGGGTGGCGGTGGCGCGGGCGAGTGGCGAGCGGCACCCGCCACCGCCACCGCCGCCCGCCGCCCGCCGCCCGCCGCCGCCACCGCCCGCAGCCGCCCGTCGCCGCCACTTGCCGCCGCCACTTGCCGCAACGCCGCACCGTCGTGGTCGTGTTGGGTAGTAGCAGTGGCATGCAAGTAGTGGGAAAAGTATTTGCAACTAAAGCTTCCAACAAGCAAGAATAATAATTCAGAAGCGTTTAAAAAATTACAGACGATCCTGCTGTTATGTGCATATGTGTAGTGCTTCAAAAGGTTTTTGAAAAAATGAAATTTAGAAAATGTTTGTTTTTGTTTTTCTAGAAAAAAAATAATTAGCACAAATACGATGCGCAGTGCTTTGAATGAGTGTTCAATAACATGCCTTCATAAATCAGAAAAATACCTCACCTTGTCTATCATGTCACAGCGCAACATCCACCGCAACCGCCAAGCTAGCTTTCCTTCCACGTCTCCGCTCACATGACCCCACGAGTCACCCACGTAACACGTCAGTTGGTTGATCCGATGATTCCATGGCTGCCCACGTGACCCTCCGGACGGGTGACCACGTGCTATGCGCCGTCCCCTCCCCGTCTCCCAGTTCAGTCTGCGCTGCCAGCCGCCACACACAGCCCACTGTCAGAAGCCACGCACCAACCATCGATCGGAGTGGCGCTTACGTCACGGTGACGTCATATCCGGCCCGGGATCCCAGCACGGGTAATCGTATGTTGACGTAGTTTTTATGGAAAGCTGGGCCTTTTTCATTTCACGCCTGCTGGCGGCTTTTCGCTGAGCTGAGTTTAGTTCGCGATCTCAGCTCAGAAACACATACTATGAAGAACAGCTTTCATTCTGGAGAGCCTCATAACTTGCTTATAGTTTACTGCAATGACTTGCTTTTTTGGTTTATAGATGTAAGACTTTATTCGCTTCACCCGTACACAGGTAGTGCGTGATGAGCGTTTTGCATCGATTGATTGTATGATTCCGTCCAGGGGCGGATCCAGAAAATCTCCAAGGGAGGGGCCATTAGAAACCAGGAGGCCCCCCCCCCCCATAATCCCACCTGTTGGAGGCCCCATCTTCCCACTTGTTGGCCCCCCCCCAAAAAAACTGCGTCTATTGAGCTTATCTAGCTGTTCAGGCAACATCTCAACATCTGTGCACTGTGCAGGCTTGGAGGCCCTCTGTGCAGGTTAGGAGGCCCTGTAAAAGTGGTCATCTCTGTGAGTATAAGAGACCTCCAAGTTATGAAAAGCTTTACCAATCTTCTAACAAAGAAGTCTTCTCAGCTAGTCTTCTAAGAAATAACTAAGTGGGTAGGTTAAAAAAAACTCATCGGATTTCGGCCACTTTATTTTCAGGAGGCCCCCTTTTCAGCTTTTTAACTTTTTAACTTTTTATTTTATTTTTGAAAAAAATCGGCCAAGGGGGGGCCATGGCCCCCATGGCCCCCCCCCCTTGTATCCGCGCCTGATTCCGTCAAGCCAAATGATTCATTTTAGTCTGAATGACTGTATCTGTAAGATAAATGAGACGTTAAACGCCGCGATACCGGTTCGATTTGATTCATGCATGATCTTTTCGTGATTTATGTTTAACACCTTCACTTAGAGCACTGCCACTTTCATCTTCATCATTATTCCTCGGTGTCCAATTAAGACACGCAGCATTGTAGTTGAATCACTACACACTTTTCGCATTAATTTCACCCGTATTGTTGAATAGTGTCTTAGTGATGTGCAACAAAACTTGAACGCGTGAACTGCATCTGTTGATATATGTGGTGGTTGTTACGACGATGAGTAACAGTGTCTTTCCAGCTGCCATTCCTTTCTCAATGCCTTATGCGACGCTAATTATACAGAGTCAGGGAAGGGATTGTTTCTTGAAGCCTGTAATCCCAGTCCCGTAAATCAAGCGATTAATGATAAAAACAAATTTAAACTGATGTGTCCGGTTCTGAGTCTTGACAACGGATCATTTTGAAAACAGAATCACCCGGGGTTAACCCGTCATTTGACAGTTGCATGTCGGGTATCAAAAGGACATGACAGATGCGCGACAAAACGCGGCAGGTTAACTAAACAGAACAAATATCCTAACTGACAGGCGACAGCCCTGATTTGTGCTTATCATATATGTAATAATATGCCCTTTACCCGCTATGCATAAAAGTTAGTTGTTCTGTAATCTGTTAAAATATGTTCCTTCGTTTAATGGTAATATACCTACAGCCTATGATTACACGCAATATCATCAATCATGTGACAATCATGCGACATGCAATTTCCTTACCTGAACCTATTGCAGGGCTGGATGACCCCTCATCAAAGCATCTGATGGGAGCCCGGAGCCGACCGAATTACCTGAGCTATCGCAGATCGAACTGAGTTCCGTCTCTATAGTCACTTCTCTCCTTCCCTCCTCCCCTCTCTTATCCCCTCGCCGGTAGCCGGTAGCCAGTACTACCATTCGGAAGCCACTACCATTCGGCAGTCCATCAGGAACGCAGGCGTGGCACGTGGCACCGCGGTGACCCGCCACGTGCCGGCCGCCCGTGGCACGTGCCGGCACGTGGCGCCGCCTGCGGCCATTCCCACTGGTCTAATTACCCCCGCGGGACTACTACTGTTCCGCGGTGGGTGCGGCGGCGGCGGCAGATAAGGCAGTGGCTGTGATGTAGCCGGTAGTCATAGTGGCAGTTTATAAGGTGGCGGTGGCGGCGGTAGTTTTGAGGGCTGTGACAGTGATGAAAGCTAACTACTAAATAGTGGAGTTGGTGGTGGTAGCTTATGAGGTGGTGGATAGAGGTGGCATGATGAAGCCGGTAGTGGTGGTGGTGGCGGCAGTTTTGGAGGCGGTGACAGTGATGAAAGCGGTGACGGTGGTGACGCCAGCTCTGGAACCGTTGGCGGTGGCAGTTCATGAGGTGGTGGCGAAGACGGCCGTGATGAATCTAGTGGGAGCCATGAGGGTGTCGAGGGCGGTGTGATTATGAAACTGACTATTAGCGGAAGATAAATGACAAGTCATTAGCACCTTGTAGTCATCATGTTCATAATATCACTGTCGCATTGGCACTGCAGCACATGATACAAAAGTTAAGACTCAGTTATATATGTATCTAACATGTCTTTCCATCCCAGGTAAGCGTTATGTGGCCGGTAACAAAAAGCCTGATCTTCTAAAACCATCACAAGAACGTTCACATAAATACAAATTAACGCACTTACCCTTTGCCTACGACAATAAGAAAAAGTCCCATGATAGATGATACCGTGTTGTGCGGGCTGCCATTGGTTCCGGCGCTGCCGCCGCCAGATTGATGGATCGCAGCTGACTGCGCGGTGCCGACTCCGGCGACCGGCCTAATCCATCACAAACCCGTCCATTAGAACGATTCACCACGATTCACAGTCGAACCCGCCGGTCCCGGTGCTGCAGCTCAGCTCAACGACCCGACCAGAGGCTCAGGTCAGGGTGGGAGTCACGTGACATGAGGAGCGGTTAGGGTGGATGTTACGTGACATGAGGAGCAGTCAGGGTGAATGTCACATCACATAAGGCACTGCACCCTACATGACCTGCGACACCGGTCGGAGTGGTAGTCACGTGAAATAAGGCACATGTCATATTAGGTCCACTGTATTGATCGGTGTTATCAAGGTCTTATTAGGTGTCTTTTATGAAGTGTTCATTGTGTGCTCATATTGCATTGTATATGACGAAGGTCGCAGAATAGCCCTGCACCAGTGGAGCGACCTTATTCGGTAAATACAAATACAAATACACATATTATGGGAAGCGACATGTGCTCTGATACTGAGCCCTGAGGCAACATTAGGTTTGTAAGTCACGTGAATTCAATCACTGCAACTGGTCAGGGCGGACATCATGTGGCCTCAGTTCATACACTAGGGTAGCTACCACATGACCTGATAGCGATCAGCGCGATTGCGCTGCTATCCCAGACAGTCAGCTCAACCCTTGATGACCTCACGAATTGGTCACGGTGGCCGAGGCCGCGCTGCTCCGACAGTGATGTCATTCGACCGAATTCCCTGAGTGTCTGTCGCTACGGGTCGGACTGGCGAGCTTGGAAGTCATGGAGAAAGGAATGAAAAAATGGGGAGACGGATTTGGTGGGTAAGCCTGGTGGGACTGGTAAAGTTGCAAAACATTTTTAGCCGAGGAGGCCTGCTAGTATAATGATGCATCTTATCAGATGTGGGTGAAGACAATTGTGCATATCAGATTGATTGTCACGTCAAAGCTCGGAACGAATGAAAATTAAAGTACAGAACTACTTCTAATTAAATGCTCTTTTCCCTTTCAGCACTGAATCATAATTATGGCCATCTAATCAATTGTCGGTATGCAGACCGATATTTTCAACATTGAGAAATATTTGTTTATATCGTAGTTTCCTTGACAAACATATCTGCACATGAACACACCTGACACACTGAAATGAAATTAGATCAACAGCTCACCTTAAATTATTTAATATTAACAATCAATCTCTTTCAACCCAGGCCCAGGCTAGCATCGCGGCGACCATGACAGCAAATCAATATCCAATATCCTCAACACCGCGTCTTCCAGCAATGCTGTCCACGGCTCGGGACCATGTCGTTCACTGTCGACCCTAGCAACAGATCAGCCCCTCCATTCGGCTGCAGAACAATCACAGTCTCCGGGCGGCCGGCCGGCTGGCGAGAGCCCCGTCCGCGTCAGGCAAAAATGCAATACTGGCGGTTCAGGAATGTTAGATCAAGCCGCCGCCCGCCCGGCCCGATCCCCTGTTGCGGAACAACTGGAAACGATTCTCAGTGACTCTTTTGTCCCCAAAACCGGCCGCTGTGGTTTGTACTGGCTAGGCGCGGCTGGGAGAAACGGAGACATTCTTTCTGGGAATGGAATGGTCAATGAAGTGCGCGGCGAAGGAGTCGTCTGCTTGAGCCGACTTCACCGTCTTCAATTGCTCTGACAGTTCCCTGCACCGTCCTAGCCGTCCTTGCCGCTCCTGCTATGCATACACGGGTGGCCCACCCGTGCCGCCGTAAACCATGCTGTAACACATGCTAAGTGACCCATGCCGCACGACCGTCCACAGCAAATTGGGTGTCCTTACCATCTTCCGCCATCCGGGCTGCCCAGACTGTTCTGAGTAGCGAGCAGCCCGAGCTGCTCAGTGCTCATAGCTCCCGGGCCCCAAGGCCGCCTCCTGGGCCGCGTGAACTGGTTAGATCATTGATGGCTAGCTGGCTGGTTGGCTGGGCTGGCTAGGCAGAGCTCGCCGGCTGGCTGGTATTCTAGCTAGCTGGCTGGGCTGGCTGGGCTGCCGTTCCGGGTAACGATTCACCGGTATAAATAAGCTGTCATACCGGCCAGCTCCTGGCGGCCCCCGACCCGCTGGCTGACTCATCCATCATCAGCGCCTGCAGACTCGATAGCAACTGGACGCGCCGCCCTGCCTGCCGTCCAACTTGTTTACCAACCAGCTCACCCTGGCCAGCTCCTGGAACCGCCGCCGGCTGGCGGCCGGGCGCCCTGCAGACGGGGACGTACTTGGCATGCATAACATGCGGCATGTGCAGTCGCTCGCTGGACTGATCTAATGCTCGGCGATGGGGCGGTGGGGAGGGCCGGACGGTGACGAGTCTATGGTTAATGATCTGAGACGGCGCCCGCGAGGGTGGCCGACTGCTCTGAGCTCTCCCAACGATGTGGTGATTTGAGGTTTGGTGCGACACGCAGGGGAAATCGAACGAGAATGATTTGTATGCCGTGTGCACTGTAATGTGTAATTCGCTCCAGATTTAAATGAGCCGGGGGATTTGAATGTTTTACTGCATGATCCATAATTCATCACCTCCCGGTTTCACCTCATTCATTCAAATTGAGACTAGCATTCATAGCTCTATTCATTCTAATGAAACCCACGAAAGTGAGCCTGTTAAACGTCCGGTCTGGCCGATTCAGAATGTCGATCGTGAATGTTTTGTCATGCTTTACGGGTCATAGCGCTTGACACTGCCTGTTTGTGTCTGCTTGTCGATCTCGCAATGTGTATCGTACGTTCTATCTATACCATGAATTATGTGCTACATCTCTTTCCTACATTTTTGTCATGTGCCATGTTGTCCGTGACCTTTTGCCAGTGGCTTTGTTAGTTTGCTGGTCTTGCACTCTACATTATGAATTTTGTGCCATGCATTCCATGGCATGCAATCTGTATCACGCTGTTTGTGACACATAGCGTGTTGTTGTTTCAGTTTGTCGGTCGTGCATCTTGTGCCACCTGGAGTCGAGCAGCTGCTGTCCCGTCTGTGCGGGGACCATACACCGCACCAAAGGCTCCTCCAGTCTCAGGTGAGAACCAAGGACTCCTCTAGTCTTCCGTAAGATGCTGATTCTAAACCAAGGGCTCCTCCAGTCTCAGATAAGGACCAGGGCTCCTCCAGCCTCAGGTGTGTACCGAGGGCTCCGGCAGTCTCAGGTAAGCACCAAGAGCTCCGGCAGTCTCAGGTAAGCACCAAGGGATCCTCCAGTTCCAGGTAAGATGACAAGGGATCCTCAAGTTCAGGTAAGATGACAAGCCAAGAGCCCATCCAGTCTTCGGAAATCAGTCTTCGGCCCATCCAGTCTACCGGACCAAGGGGTTCTCAAGTCTCGGGCAATTGACGACGTGCCAAGGGTTGCTAAAGTGTCGAGGGATACACCCATCAAGGACTCTCGAACTTTCGAAAGAAGGCCTATGCGTAAGAATAAAGTGATCATTCAGCCTAAGATCGGTTTTACTGATATTTTTCAATGATCACAGCCTTCCATCTACCGAATTGCAACTATAGGTGCTAGATTCATAAGGTAATTTCCAAATTTTGATTTCGATTTATACGTAACGTAGAACATCGAATTACACCTTTTGGGTGGCCACCACTTCGCAGCGATTTATTGCCTTCCGAAGAGGGCACACATCCATGCTCCATACATAATTGCATACTGTGCTCAAAGATACATGCTCCGGCAGGCACTGAGCTGAGGTAAACGATCCCGCTGGTTGTGTGGTCTGGCGACAACTCTGCGGTGGTCTCACATGAGACATTCCAGATAGCCTCCGTCAAACTGTGATGGCGAAAACTTGTCCAGCGGCCGTGGAATTCCTAGAGTGCTGCGCCATGAAATTCAACACATCAACATTATTTCAGCTGCGATGTTACCAGATTGCTGTTCAGCAAACTTCAGCCCCAAGGGCTTAGATGGGGAATTGAAAATTTATGCAGCGATATTTTACAAGCTCGGCCGAATTTCTCGTCTGCTCTGGGAACATTTAATCCCCGATGGGCCGTGTCAATTATGGCACCACACCTCTCCGATATCGGAGAGGCGCCATGTTCAGTGTCGCGTGCCACGATTGCAGTCATCCGTCAGGGTAAGACGTAAGTGCCTATCTTCTGTATGGACGTGCGTCAAAATTGCACGGTACACTGCAGCGAATTCCCACCAGTCACTGAGCAGCTGTATTGTGCTCTCAGGAGCAGGGTTGTGCTTGACTCATGAGTCGAGTCAGAAGTTTGACTCAACTCTGACTCAAATGAGTCAGATTTGAGTCGAGTCGGATAAAATGTTGAGCTGTTGAGTTGAGTCAGAGTTGAGTCGGAAAAAAATATAAAGGTGTTGAGTTGAGTCAGAGTTGAGTCGGTAAAATAACTTATGACATTGAGTTGAGTCAAAAACATTTAGGAACATGAGTCAGCTGACTCAACTTTCTAGAAAGTAGAAACAATATATTATACAGATAGGTAAGCTTTTCATCCCCCCCCCCCCCCCGCTTAACAACTTAGGCCTGGCCCTGCTGCCGGATTTTTTTTCACCCCCCCCCCCCGCTCAACAACTTTTTTATCTGAGTCAATTTTGAGTCAACACACTTGACTCAACAAAAATTTGAGTCAAGTTTGAGTCAACTCATATTTTCGTTGAGCCGCTTGAGTCATGAGTCGAGTCAAGGGAAAAAATCAGCTCCTTGTTTGAGTCAGAGTTGAGTCAGGGCTTTCTGAAGTTGAATGATGAGTCGAGTCGGCAAGTTTTTTTGAGTCGAGCACAACCCTGCTCAGGAGTTGCATGCATTTCACAAATCGCTGGAAATCTCCGCGATGCTTGAGTTTATTTCATTTTATTTTCAGGGGGGACGCCAATACCAGCGATTTCATTCAGATCGCCATTGGGCAATGAGTTGTTGTCGTGTCCTTTCCGTGAACTCACTTTTGTTTTATTCATTTCCTTTCTCGCGGATTCTCATTCTTTCCGATCACAGGAGGGCTCTCGGCTCATCCGTCCAGCACGGGAGCCGCTCGTCGTCCTGCGGTTCAGCCTTTCGAGTTTAGAAGTCCTTTAGCTTCATGAAGTCCTCCCTTCCTTCCCCACACAGCTCAGCTGTTCAACGTTCAGGTATTCAACGTTTAGTGTGTCCCCTGCCTTCCAGCCATGTCGTCCACTGTTGTCCAGTTTCTTGTTGCAGCTCAGCTTTCTTGTAGAGGACAATCTACAGTCCTCCCGCCCAGTCGCTCAACGTTCATGTATCTCCTTGCGGTCCAATCGTCCAGCCGTTCTCTTATCATCCCAGCGATCATCGGTCGGTACCGCGGCGGCCTTTTTGCGACCGCCGCCCCGCCGCGATTGGGTCCCGTTGCGTCGCGGATTGGTCAGCGCCGATGGACCTCAGGCTCTCCGTCTGACGAGACCCGCCTGTCAGACACTGTCACGCGACTGTTCGTCACACCCGACAGCCGACGGCTGAGGGGCGCAGCTACCGGGCAAAGGGCGGCACCGGGCTTTGGAAGTTTTCGGACGGTGCTACTTCATGATCATGCTCGGGTAATGCTCGAATGCTCCTTATTTGGTGGTCCTTGGTTTCGTCGACAACTGTATTGGGGGAGTGCCCAACGATTACCAAAATGTTAGCCACGACACAAATTGATCTAGGTTATTAATTAGCAGCCATAACCCTTGCCTTAATGTGACACGCTAGCTACTGCTAGCCTACATTTCACGGGTCATGCAAATCCCCCTGCTTATAAACGCATGTCAAATCGCATTAGACATGCCGACATATCTCTCGCTCCAACAACAGCCTGACAAAAAGGGGCCGTATTCAGCAGCCGAGTACAGTGTGATCTGGAGCGTCTTACCGCTGACCTGTGCCGGGCTCGCCGTCTGCCCGAGACGGTGCATTGGTCGATCGGTCGGAATCGGACCGTGTCCGGTATCGTCCGCATCGTCCGGCAGATGGATCGCCCGTCGCGCGGCGCCATTGCCGGCCTCTCAGATGGCTTGTAGCCGCTCGGCGGCCGCTCGTCCGATCAGCAGCGCAATTTGCATAGAGACCGCTTTTGGGCGGCGGCGCTCGATAGCATCTGGCCGCGAGTGATTCATTGCGGCCTGAGCACGCGGCCACCGAGCACCTCACCTCCTGTGTCGGCGGACCAGGGAGACGCCAGAGCCGCCGAGCCGTGGAGGCGACGGCTAGATCGGCAAGCGGCACGTGGCCGATAGCTCTGACAGTGCATTGAGACATGGGACCGGTCAGGCCATGAGCTGGGTCGTGTTCAGCAGGCCAGGTAAGGAACAGGCCAGGAACAGACCGCTGGGCATTGAGCAGGTCCAGAACAGGTCAAGCCGTGAGCTGAGTTCGGAGTGAGCACTGGGCAGGCCGTGCCGTGAGCTGAGCTCGTGGTGAGCGGGTCGGGCCTCGGGTGAGCTCGGAGTGAGCGGGCGAGGTCGTGAGGAAAGACCGGGGGGCTGGGCTGGGCAGAGCGCTGGGCAGGCCGTTCATCAAGACGACGCCTGATAACAGGATTGCTGAGACGGATGGCTGGGAGTGTTGCGGCACCCCTCGACTCCACACCGCGCAGTAGGTACTCTCTCCCTGCAACACCTTCGAGCATCCCAGAGGAGGGCCGATGGCAGCACCAAGATCAGTGAAGTTATCGGCCTTTCTGCACATAGGTGGCACCGTAGTGGTGCTGATAAAGTAGGTATTCCACTTCGATTCTGATCCCATTGCCATCTACCTTTATGTGGGGATGCAAGCTGTATCATTATTTCTCACGGCATTCAGGTCTCGTTACGATAACTGGAAAATTCAGTACGATGTAAGCTGAATTTTCCTTGCCACTTCTTTCCCAATTATGTTTGGTGCCTGCCGATACCTGCTGTAACAGGTGTCCTTTTATTTCAGGGCGGACGCGACCCTGCAAACGCTGGTCTACAAGATGGTGCCGGACCTCTTCAGCCAGGAGATGCAGCAGAGGAGAGACTTCTACGAGGAGAAGCCCTACGCAGGTGAGTTTCTGTCACACACACATACCTACGTTTATCCCGTAATTCAATAATAATTTGCATGTTTTCTTGCAAAGGACTTGCTAGACTCCTTCCAAGCAATCGTTTAATTAAAACTACTCTAATAATCCGATTAAAACTACACTGGAACCTGATTAAAGCATCGGATGCCACGTCGATTTCAATCCCAAAAGCTTTGGTCTCGAGCTGAAAGCCCGACTGTTGTAAAGGATCTATGAGCCGGGGCTGATCCTCTGTGTCGGCTGGCCACCGATCGTCAGACCCCGTCGGTCTGCCGTCAGACCCGTCGGCCCGTCGTCAGGCCCGTCGGCCCGTCGTCAGGCCCCGTCGCGCCGAGCCCGCTCGGTTTACTGCCCCGCTGGCTATGCTAATCTGACGGCGGTCCGGGCTCGGATCGATCGCACAACACGTGACCGCACTTTGGCCGACGGAACGCGACACATCGGGATTGCCGCGGCACGGTACACATTGGATGAGGAAGGGCCACGTCGAGATCGTCGTGGATGGGAACATCGGCATTGCGTTGGGGCGGGATACGTTGGGAGGTCATCGCATCGAGAACACCTGGGCTGCATTGCGACTGCATTGGGATCGCGTTGGGACAGAATGCACCAGGATCGCTGCGGAGTGCAGCACGTAGGAATAATCGGTGGAACGCCATACATTTTGTTTTTCAATGGGACGTGTTATTCCATTCTATAAAAACATGATAGGATCAACAATGAGGTGGGTATCAGGCGTCCTCTGCATGTCCCATTGTCCCATGTGCACTGCGGGTTTCAGGCAGTGGTTGGATAAACGCGATGGCGAACCCATATCGGCTGCATCAGAGCGAGGTGTGGCAGTAGCTCGTTGACTGGTGTAAAATGAATGACGTCGCTCAAGAACTTGGAGCGATAAATCCTCAGGATTAATGGTCGTTAACGGGGAGCTGATAATGAATGCCACTGCATTAGCTTTGGCAGGAGCCTCCGTTACAGGGCTCGGAGTCCATGATTAGAAGAGATAGATCAAGCTGAACGTTTGAACGGGCCAGTGCTCTCTCCGTTCACTGATTAAATTCAGAGCACCCGTGCCACCCGTCGGTTCCCAGAACTACCGCATATAGAGAACGACCGGCCCCTCGTGCCCCGTGGGGCGGCAAGGATGAAACGAGCTGCCGGTTCGGTGGCCTGCGCCGCGGGTCTTCGGTCGTATACAAGCCGATATAAATACACACACAGAGGCGGCCCGGGACTCCACGAGGCGGCAGAGTGTGGGTCGGCTCTTCCAGTAACTGATCTAAAGCGGAACTACCACCAACTGCCTTGGGAAGGCTTCCTACAACTGACGTGAGAAAGGTTTTTTTCTGATTGATTTGAGATGGCTAGTATTGATTTTTGCCAACACTCAATTCAACCGATATTATTCAACGTTTTCAGCCCCTGAATTCAATCTCATCACTCTTTCTTTTCAACTTACACGAGATCAACCAAATGACGTGAGACACCGCTTGCGCCAAATGACATGGGTCGACCCTCTTGTCGACTGACGTGCTCTAACATCCTCTCATGCTCCAGCGGCTCCGCGAAAATGCCGCTATTCAGCAGCTCGCAGGCCGGCAGGCATGTTTTTTGGTCGGCGTGATGTTTTTCCCTAATTATGTGGAAAGAGCTCCGCCGACTGTTGATAAGAACACGTGAGAGGCATTCCTTCGAGCTGGATTACGGCCGCGTGGGTGGCAACTGGCGCGGCGCTGCGTCAAGTGACGATCGTCGACACAAAGTCGGCTCCGACGCCGCCGACGCAATGTGGGCGACGACAGCGGAACTGACGTCAGAGACGCTCTACGCCCTCGTAAAGTGCTTCAATCAGTCGAAAGGCGGCGGGACGGTGGCAAACTATTCCCAACTGGAGGTCGCTCGCCAAATGGCGTATGACGGCAGATCGCCGTCCCCAGCGTCCCACCGAGCGCTAATTTCGTCGCTCCTCTGTGAAGCTGTAAAGCTTTGCCGACGAGCTGGCGCCGTCTTTGTCGGCCCTGCGCCACAAACGTATAGCTGCCGTCTACACTGACCTCTCCCTCCTGTGTTACCTCCATGCCATCTCTGTATGCTGCCTGAATACGTGCAATGTGCATGCATACAATTGCATACACTGTCATCCGTAAACCTCAGCACAGGCTTAGCGCTCGCCGTAAACGCCCGATGTCGATCGGCGCTAATGCTGATGTGCAGTGACGGACAGGGAGGCGTCGGGGCGACGCTGTGGCGCCGACACCATCCGAGAGCTGATCTCCTGTAAGATGCCGCCGTCACGTGCAAGCTGCACCCTCTGCGAGTGCACACAGTGCATGTGCAATGCGCGGGAGCGGGAAGGGATGTGGCGTGGTCTGGGAGCGGAACATGGCAGTGATGGTGGGCCACCGGAGAAGTAGTGGAGGGATGACGGCTACATGGGGTCGGAGTGGAGACCACCCAGAGGTTTGGGTATTGGTCAGGGTGGGCTGCCACAGTGGCCATCAGCGCAGGGGCATAGGGTGGAGAAATACTGTTCTGAGGGACTACGGAGACTTGGAATCAATAAGGCTGACATTCTACCGAAGCCGCAGAGATATTGCACAATACACAGGACACGCCGATAAATGTACTGATATAAGCGAACAGTAGTCAAAGATAGTGAGAGATGACATAGGCGGCGGAACGGGGAGGGCACCGGGGCACCGTGCCCCCTTTGATTTTGGCATTTTAACATTAACCCTATGGGCGTTTCATGGAAAGAATGGGACCAAAAGTCGTCAGTGCCCCCCCCCCTTAATTGACGGTGTTCCGCCGCTACTGAGAGATGACTGGGCGGTGGGCAAGGCACAGAGAAGAGAGAGAGAGAGAGAGAGAGAGAGAGAGAGAGAGAGAGAGAGAGAGAGAGAGAGAGAGAGAGAGAGAGAGAGAGAGAGAGAGAGAGAGAGAGAGAGAGAGAGAGAGAGAGCAAGCGCGATCTGTGTCTCAGCATCACGGATCAACCAACAAAAAAGATGACACGGAGGGTGAACGGAGCAGTGTGATACTTTGATCGGCCAGGTCATCGGTTCACCACCACAACGGGAGCAGCCGGCCTCTGAAAACACAGTGACAAAGAAGGTCAGGACCGGCGGGTCAGCGGGCCAAAGAAACGATCCGAGTGACACAGCGCCCGCCGCAGGGCTTCGCCGCAAGGCCAGGCAGGAACAAAAACACACGAGTGCGTCAGCATAATGTCCTGATGGTGCACGCTGAACGATGTGAACTAGACACCATTCTGAGAGCATGCGTGCGCTGGAATAAATGTTCTCAGAACTCCACACTCCTCAGCGAGATGCCGCGCCAGTGGTGTATTTCCTTCACCTATCGCCAACGGATGTATCAGAGCGCCGAGACTCTCATCAAACCATCTGTTGCTTTCCAAATTCTGGTTTAGGTGGACTTTTCAAGATTTTTTTCTGATTTACTGTGGACATTCTGTTTTGGTGGACCCAAAAAGTCCACGTAAAAATAAACGCACAGAACACCTTTTAGCTGGACGTAAACGTATCCGAAAGAACAAGTCTGTTTCGGTGGACTCAAAAATTGTCCACCTTAGGCGCCATCTATCTCTAAACTAAAAAATTTGATGGTTCGTAGTTCCAATATCTGCCACAGACGGCGCCACCATCGGCTGGCTCTGTGTTGAAGCTCGGAAACGCACGCCTTGATCAGCGCGGGCTAGCGCGGGCATGCAGCAAAAACGTAACATGATATGATTTATAGTGTGGTCTGTGGAATGTGAAGCGATCAAAATAGACGTTTGTTTTATTTTTAAAAAAGTGTAAAAATAAATTAATTATATTATGTATCTTAGAAACCCGTGAATTAGAGTATGATGAAGTTTTGTGTAGTTGCAACAACACTGTTTTTTGTTGCGGTGTTATCGGCGCGGCACGGCTCACCACGTGGCGGTGTCAGTGTTGGGATTTGGAAGAGATAAAGCTTTGGGTGGTACTAATTTGTGTTTTTTTTTGTGCTGGGAGCTTTTTGAAGTCTGTGAGGTAAGTGGAAATTATTTGTAGACATCTATTTGTTGGATACTGGTATTGCAGAGTACCGATTTGCCATGCGATTGTTTGGGCCGGACTTGCAGGCGTCACACTTCAACTTCTTTTTGCAACCAAGGAGCGGGGCCGGATGGTCACTATACCCAGAGATGCTTTCTAATCAAACCAAACCAAAATAGACCTAACCAAACCTAACCAAACCTGACCTAACCAGTACAACCTACAACCTAAAACCTACAACCTAAAACCTACAACCTAAAACCTACAACCTAAAACCTAAAACCTACCACCTAAAACCTACAACCTACAACCTAACCTACAGCACCTCTCCTTGGTTGCTAAAAGAAGTGTTACGCCTGCTTTACGACTACCCTTGAAATGTGGCTAGCCGCTACTTGCTATTTCTTTACAAGATCTCAGGCCTCGGGGTCAATTAATGATGTAGGTACTCTGGCTCCGGATCAATTCAACAAAATGCAGGGCTGCCCTACATTGTGCACTAACCTGTTTGAAGTATGTACTTGTGTTCAGGATCCCAATCTGAATCCAGTTTAGGGGAAAACACCATGTTTATAAGTGTAGGTTTTGGGCAGTGGCGCCGGGCGCGGGAACCGGGGGCTAGCGGGGGCTGAGCCCTTCTAACTTTACCCCTAATTTGGGGAGGACAAGCTGCCCTAATAGTTCCTGGTCTCATGAAAAGTTGTGGGGCACTGCTCCCACGGCCCCAGAGTTGTGGGGGCAAGCTTCCCTCACTGCCCCCTCCCCCGGTTCCTGTGCCTCTGTATGAATCTATGAAATTATGTTGGTAGATTTCCGATTTTGATTCCTCCAGCTGTGAGGAGGGGGGGGGGCTCAAATACATAATGAGCCCCCCAGCCGAAAAGTTGGAGGGGCTCAGCCCCCGCTAGCCCCCCCGGTTCCCGCGCCTAACTAGGTCATTCAAAGACATTTTATGGTCATGACCTCTTAGTGTATTGTCAATAGGCCAAAGCTTGAAGAGTCTCTCAATCCCAAATGGTTTTCAGCTCAGTTTTAGCATTTTGTTATCTTATGGGTCACCTTTAATGAAATTAAGACCCACTTTGGCCTTATGACCTTAACTTATGGGTGGGTCCCCCAATGACCTACCGTTATGTCCATTTTGTATATCTCAGAATTTGTATATCTATGACCTGAGGTAAGGTCAGGTCAGATTCATTATCTTTACATTACAAGCCTATGGATAAATTTGAAATGCGCACCGCTTTGTGGAAACGAGTCAAAACCACTCAAGTCTTTCAGGATTTTGACATATTGAATCATCTATGACGATCCAGGTATCATTTACTGACAGAGACAGGAAAAGGTCATCTGAGTTCGTGCGAGGTCATCAATAGTTGCTTGTCAATAAACCATGATAAATTGGCGCTAAAGACATGTAAGTGGCACCAAACTGCTTGCCTTGCCAAGTCACGCGTCGTTTGCTATACAACGTGACGTATCAACCCCGCCCCTATTGGGTCATGACCTCTCCCCCACCAGAGGTCAAGTTTTAAATTGGCCTTAATGAAGGTCATCAAGTATTTGTTTCGAATCGCCTCGACAAGAGAAGCACAATGGTGTCAATTTTATGTCTTTATTCAAAAGTTTTATCTACTATACTTAGGTTACTATTTCAATAACATTTTATTTTTATGACCTCTGGTGACCTCAATATTGACCTGACGCATTTTTATTTAAAAGTTGTAGCTCTTTGACCGACCTATCAAACGCCGTTTGCTGCGTCGATGCGTGGTTTTCGAGAAATAACGGGGGGCTGATAAGCCTGCCCTGCCTGCCCGGAATCTTACCTTTCAGAGCCCGCCCGGAATATGGTTTAAGGGTGTATACTGTATACAGCGGTGTCCTTTGCCCAGTTTTTTTTATTTTTTAAGTTGCCCAACATGCCGTACTCAACCATACAACTGACCTTTTAGCATCATTTGTGTATAACACTGCAAATTGCACACATCTCAGCCATTTAAATGTAGCGATTGAAGGCATAATGCCAGTTGCCTCATAAAATATAATGGTACCTATATACCTAAGTGTGTTGTTGAGAAGGTCAACAATGTAAGGTTTTCAAGTGAGGAGTAAAGGCCAGCTCTAGAGTGCATTGTACTAGGAACCGTTAATACCTTGTTTGAAAGTCTATTTTTCTTGACCTTTTAATTCAATTCGTTGTTGGAAAATTGCAGTGGCAACAAAAATTATGAGTCACCTGCTGCATGCCCGTTGGCCATACAGATTGTCTTCTTTCTGCCTTAGTTACTAAAAGCGGCTAAAGAAAGATAAATGCTTACAGAAAAATCTCACCATACAGGCTTTCTTTCCAGGTGACTTGTTAGCTATCTTACATGCAGGCTTTCTT